GTACGGGCGTGGAACGTTAGATCAATAGTTTGCTCCGTGCCCGTAATTATGCTTATAAAAACAACAACAACAACAACAACAACAACAACAACAACAACACCAGCAACAACAACAACAACAACAACAACAACAACAAACAAAAACGTAACAAAACATGTTTGCTGTAACAAACTCCCAGATTCAACGAAACTGAAGTTCAAACCGGACGACTTTGTTTAATCAGAGTTCCAATTTTCTTTTTTTTTCTTTTTCTTTCTTTAGAAAATCTTTAAGATTAAAAAAGCAATACCGGTACGTCACCCAACTGAACAAAAACCGATGACAGCAGTAACAACAGCATTAACATCAACAACAACAACAACAGCAACAACAACAACAACAACAACAAAACTGGCGTAACTTTTGAAGAGAGATTCGGTGTAAGTCTTTTCACTTGCGACAGAAAAAGAGAAGGCATTGTCACTAAACTGTCCAAGAACTGTAGGCCCTACGAGCAACCACTTCGCGTACGAGTCTCGCTAACATTCTCTGACTCTGATAGGAATGCAATTTGTCAATTCTACACAGCTTCAAACGAATTATGTAATCCGACAGGCTGGTTGTAGCCAGGTCAAGAACGTCCTCTTGCACACTGGGCTTGTCTTGTTGCGTCTCCAGCTTTCAACCGGGACGGCTGGGGTCTTTCTTGTCATTTCGGAGTCGCTTTTTATAGTACGCTTCTTTTGATCGTTTAAGCAAAGCCAACCACTTGGGACATAGACACGTGGTTGCTCTATCCAAGAAAGATACCACATAGCTCAAAAACACCCAGCGCGCATTCGTCTAGGCTATCTATGAAAAGTGTCCGTCCCGTAGGATATTTGTGATGACGCTAGTGCAATTAGACTGTCGAACGGTGAAGACGCACGATTATATTTAGGGCCAATAAAACTCACACATCCAGTGCTTTTTCGGTAAAATGGTTTATGATACCCAGACATGGGACAAGAGGAGCATGGGCCTACCTGATGCTCAGGGGCGGCTCGTGGGGCTAAAAAGTGGACGTGCACAATTAAGCTATCGCATGCTGAAGATAGTCAAGGGCATAGGAAATGAGACGTTGTTCAATTTTAGGATCTTTGGGTTGGTGAGGGAGGACCTCGTGCTTTTATTTTCATTCTTTTTACTTGTCACTTTGATTTCTAGTACTAAATTTGTTTGTTAGCTTAACATCAATTTCGTTCATCCTGTATTGAAACTGAACACTAAAGTAATAACGTTCGCTACTCCACTACAAAACCATTCAAAGGCACTACTCATAGGACGGTCACGTTCACCTCCCTCAAGTTCACAGTCACAGAGTCACTTAAAATAGTGTTAAGACAGACAATGACCCAATCACAATTCACTTGAGCACTACGCTGGATTGCTCCGGGGCTCACATAATATTGGCAAAGAATAGCGTACGGTCTATTGCGTTTATTTTTAGACTGCCTACTGTGGGCTGTGTTTCCGCACTGTTCGACAGGAGCACATTTAATTTGAGATGTGCGGGCTTATTGATATTAATGTACCGCCACAGAATTCTACACTAAGTGTAGAATTCTGTGTGTACCGCTATCCCGATTTATAGGTCAGGTGACACTGGGAAATATCCTATAACGTTTAGCTAAAGCGCATGGACTTTGGCATAGCATAGTAGATGTTTTACGCCGCTATAGACACAGAAATGACAGTTATGGCGCCAGCGAGGACCTTGCTTTGATATAATATTTGGCTAGTGTTTGTTTCTGGCGTCTTTTATTTTATTAGTGGGAGCTTTATGTAATAGAACATTGAAATTGAACAATTTTGGGCGGCACTGCACGACCGTGCTCTGTGGGAGAACCGCGCCTGCTGATGCTTCTTCTTTGCCCATGTCAAGCCGAGTGTTAGACCAGAATGGAACTGGCGCCGGTATACCGGGCCCCACGCATACCAGCGCAAATAGGGTTTAAAGATGGGTGGGGTGGACAATAGTGGACATGGGGATGATGCAGGCTCGTCTAGAACCCATGGGCTGCATTCGAGCTAGGCACGGGCTGGAAACTGGCAGATACCGATGGGCCACCTCCATCCCCCAGGTGTCCAAATCTTCTAATTATACATGTAATGTAATCTGTCTTCTTATTTTATCCCTGCTCATATCCTGTATCTTTTGAATGGGATTTTCTTCTTCATTCAAAATAATCTCTGACACGGATCTCTAGTCACATAATAGTAGATATAATGTTTTGTTGTAAATGGCGTGTGCACGTGCGCATTCTAAAGCGGGGATGTTTGTTCTGAGCCACGCGATTAGGCCTAGCCGAAGAATCCGAGATTCGTGCTTTCCTCAGCTGTAGCAAAAAGGGAGCGCTAAATCTGGTAATACCACCGCTGACTTGGGCTCCGCTGACGTTTCTGGTCTCGGGAAACAAAAAGGTAAACCTATTCGCAACCATGAAGTTTTTCATCAAGGTTAAAAATATCTTATCATGTGTAAACTACGACAATGTTGTGAGGCGAAATAAGAATTCCCACCTCAAACAAAGTCATGAGAATTATTATAAAGGGATGTATTGTTTTGAATACAATCTCGAAGCTTCTTTTTAGTTTATCATAAAAATAACTCATGTGACAAACAGAAAGTTGTCACGTGAGTAAATACAAAACATGGCTGATCAACAGAAGTTGTCGGAGAATCTCATAAGTACAAATGAAAATAACAAGACCGATCCTGTGAGGCCTACATTTGAAAATGGACAGGTATAATGCATTAAATCTATTTTTTTTTCAGTTTTATGTTTCAGGTGCAGTGCCTTTTTCCAAAGTATAAGGGAATTATGTAATAGGGTAAATGACTCAACACGTAGATCTCTAGAGTCTAGTCCTAGTCTAGATATCTATAGTCTATATCTATATTATATATATAGATCTATATCTAGATCTAGATCTAGATCTAGATGGCCACCTCTATGAGAATAGTGCAGGCGAGTCTTGTGGCTATTCTCACCCGGTGCGCGTTCACCAAATTTTGCGTTCACCCTAAACCACAGAATTCTACACACACTGTGATAACAGAAAAATTGTAGAATTCTGTGCCGTGAACAAATGTTCCATTACAATTGTAGCCTACTAAAAAAAAGCGTACAATTTTGTCTGTGGGCAGTGGAGAGAGA